ATTAAGAATCCCATTAGAGTTTGGAACGTCATAAAGAAGCTCATCCATGCATGAAAATGGGGTTGAAGAGCATTGTTGAACTGTTCTAGAGTCACGTCTGCATTTGCTTCAATGAACAAAATTCCTTCACCCGTAAACAATTTTTTACCAGACCCTTCTCTCAATCACCCTGCAAAAGGGTAGTAAAACACCAATGTCTTTGTAATAGCCTCTTTTATTATATTCACTGGGTCTCTCCCCTTCATATTTGGATTATGTTGATAGAAAAATATTAGTGGTAATTGAAATCTTAAACTCTCTTGATCATCGATATCGGAAAGTTGTATGTATTCGTGGGGTATAAATTTTGCTCGAAGAATTAGTTGTGGTTCACATCTTTGTACTTTAAAGAAGAAAGCAGTGGCAGAAGCCATTGCAATTAGAAAAGAATGGATTTGTAAATGTATTGATTGTTGAGAGGGAAGAGACGACCAAGAATTGTGAGTGTGGGGGCGGAATAAAGCTTTATTTATAGAAAGTTTTCACTTTTAGTATTATTGGTAAAAGTTATCCTCTCAATTTCTTTAGTATATTTTTTGTCTCGCTAAAAAACGCATTTAAATTAATTTTAAACAAAGTTTGAAAAAAAAAAGTTTTAAAAACTAAACTACTCTTTCTTTTTCTTTTTTTCTTTTTTTTTTTTTTTAATTTGGCTTACATTATTATGAAAACAAACCAAACAAAGAAACTGATAGATGATAAAAGCAGTGTTTATTAAGTTTAATTTTCAAAAACAATGAAACTAAAATAGTTATTAAATGAGACTTAAATTATATTAAATACTTTATAATTACTCTGCACAAGATGGTTGCTTATTCTTTTTGCTTCCGGTGGGATTAACTTTTTGTTTTCGAACAAAATTAGGGCAAACCACACCAACAACCCATTGAGCTTTGATGGCAAAGATTGGTCCTTCCATTAAATTTGTTATTATTTAAAAAAGTTCAATAGATTTTAACTACCATTGATTAACTTTTATTTACACTCTCTTTCATTGAATCAAAAAATTTAAAGATAGAATTAAGGGATGAAAATCTCGCACTCTTCTTCAAGAGGAGATTATAGAACCGAGTAGAAGAAATAAGGAAAACAACATTACCTTGTAGCCTCCAAAATTTCCTTATTTTATATGTGAGACTCGTATACGTGAAGCTAGATTATTATCATCAGATCTAAGACAGAGATATATATCTTTCATGAAAAGATCGAAGGTTTAAATTTCTACTGTTAAACTCAAAAAGAGAGAAAAAGAAAAAAAAAAGCTTCTCTTCATGTCTTGGACAATGAAGAGATAGTGCAATTACAAGTTATAAGGATTAACGAATACATTTTGGACTATTTTGTTTTATGTCTAATTTTATTATCAAATAATTATATTACATTTAATTTAAAAATATCAAAGAGTTTGAGAAATTTCAGCATTCCAATTTAAGAGAATATATATATATAAAATTTAAATCATAGGGTATAACATACTCCCTGACTAAAAAATCGTGAATTTGAATCTCCAACTCCACGCATCTTTTTTTATACTAGGAAAAAGTAGAATGTGAAAAATTCTTTCTATTTACATAAATTACTTCAATAAGTATTATCATTATTAAAGGTTCTTCTTATTTACATAAATTAATTCAGTAAATATTATTTTTAATCATATTAATTAAAAAACATCAATATATTAAATTATATTTACATGAATTTACTAAAAGCTATGTACTCACAATTTTTTTTGACACGTACTCACAATTAATTGATTAATTAATTATTATTAAATTTAAATCTTCAAAGTGTCATTGATTATCCATTAATTATAACTCACTACAATTAATTTAATAAGTTTAAAAATAGGCTACAATTAAACGTTATAACAACCAGGTAATATATCATTATTATTTTATAAATTTTTTTAGTAAAATAAGGTGTGGATTCGAACTCAAGATTTTTTGATTGGAACAATATGCATTAACCGATTGAGCACAGTTTAAGTTGATATTATTATTTTATAATTGAAAATTATTATATTCAGTAAATTAAAGATAAGCAATGGTATTATATTCAACAATTAAATATAGATTTTTCATGTTTTTTGGAGGAAAAATCAGGACACGCTACATGGACCAAGAGTAGTAGTCGGCTACGGACCTACGGAACTCACTACCTATGACCTAGAACTTCAAGCAAAGGAGGGAGGCCCTTGGCTCGTCTTGCCCAACTTTAGGGTACGGACCTGCAGAGCTCACTACATATGATGACCTAGAACTTCAAGCAAAGGAGGGAGATCCTTAGCTCGTCTTGCCCGAGCTAATAATCCAACCGCTCTCACGAGCATTTGGGAGCAATTCAAGCGAAATAATAATGGTTGTCAAAACTGGCTTCGCGATCTTTACGTTGCTGTGATATATTTATGTAACTGAGATTCACACCCAATCCTATAATTACACCCTCACTCCACTCAATCAAATATGCAATTTTGTCTGAAATCGCCCTAGAGATTTGGACTTTGGACTGACTTGAGCGTCAGATTGCTATTTCTTTGTTTGCAGGTTGTTTGATCAAGAAATTTACCAAGTTGCAAACCTCGACTCGGAAGGTAGACTGACCTGGCAGATGAGCTGGTACTTACTGGACAAGTGACCTACAAAACAAAGAACACTCTGACGCCTAAGTTAGGAAGAATCCAAACTATATCTTTGAGAGAAATATATTGTTCGCATACCTGAAATAGGAGCAAATGATCTCACATTATAAGATAGGGATCTCCGATAAGGTTCCCGACAACGCCTCAATGGCTCTTTAAGGTTGCCATGAATTGCAGCGTGTTGTGGAGTTTGTCGGAATATAAGGCTGAGCCGAGTAGCTCCAGGTCGGTTCGACCAAAGAATGGGAACAGGATCAAGAGAATCTTGATCGTCTCGGCCCTTGAGGGTGTCGACTCGGTATTGAGGTTTAATACCGAGACAAGTAGACTTGTCCTTATCATCCCAAAGCCACATGTGTCTCCTCCTCCAATCGAGATATGCCACATGTGAAGCTGAAAATCACCTCGAACACGGGTTTTCTTGTTCAGCTCGCTCTACCTAACTCGCCCAATCAACTTGTTCGTATCTCACCTCGTAAAATTTGATAGAAACAATGTTTTGCTACTATAAGAACGAGATTTTTCTATCATTATTTCACCAACAATTTAAGCTCTCTATTATTTTTTCTCTACTTTTAGTTTGATATCATTTGCTTACTTTTTAAAGACTTTTATCTTAATTTCTAAAGTAACCAAAACACATTACGTGACACATTTAGGGGAGCATGAGATCATGTGTTAAAATTAATATTTTTGAGATGTTGCAGTTCCATAATATACTTTCATGAAGTTGTATAATGGCGTTTGACTGGCCATTATCCAAGTAAGTTATATAGTTTTGTTTGTCTAATAACTGTGTAGAAACTTTTTAGTTCTTAGTTTTCTTCTTTGTTACTTTTTTTTTTGTGCTTTTTAATTAGCCTTATCAAAAAATTAAATTCAAGAAATAAGAAAAAAAAAAGAAATTCTACGTGCAATGTATGTGGTAATGTAACAGAAAAGTAAGTTTAAAAGAAAGATGTGACTTTTTATAATTACATAAGTTAAAAAAGTTTAATTATTACCATTAAAAGTTCAAAAAGAAGGCCGATAGGTACTATTTTTAGTTTTCAAAGAAAAGTTAATCACAAATAAATGGTAGAAACTAATTTTAAAATTTATTGAAAGTATAATTAAATTTAGACATTTGAAATATATGGACTAAAATAGAACATGTCTCAAAACAGATAAAAATAATATTTTAACTAAATAATAATTGAAAGGAATATGTGTCAAATTACAACTAAGCTATGCTTATCTTCGCAATTAGAATTATTATTGATCTCTAATTAATGTTGAGAAATAATGTGGAGCCAAAATGAAAAAAAAGAAAGAAATTAGCTATTGGCCTAAAAACATACAGCCCAACACATTGATCTTTCTTCCCCTTTTTTATTTTATTTTATTTTATGTAAAAGTAATATATAGTCTTAGGCGCCTAACTATTTAAACATACCAAGAGAGAATTTTTGTGAGCTTTTCAGAGGGGAGGTTTGTTTCGCGAGAGAGTTCTTCCGTCAGGTTTGGCACATAGAGGTATTGAAGAAAGAATTTGGCTTTTTGTAATTCCGTCAAATTCACACCAATTTTATAGAATAAAATGAATCGATGAAACCTGCAAAATAGAAGAGTACTAAAGCCAGTGTGGCTCTCCCCACATAGGTCCAATGATTAAGCCAAAATCAGAATAGTCGAATAAGAAGAATAAGATATTTTTGCATAGTAATAACTAGTAGAGATTTGTAGCGTACCTCATCGAGTATTTACTTTTAAAATGTTAAGACCATTAGGATATCTTCTCCTTTCGAATATATGATATATTCTCCTAGAGGAAATTCGAAGACCATCAGTATATATTCTCATTTTGAATTCTGAATTCAAATCGTAGAAAATAGAGATTTTTTCATCCATAACAAGCTTCAAGAAGCTTGTACAATAATTCGTGAACATAGGTGAAAGGAATTATTGTAGAGGGTTTATAAACTTTTAAAAATTTTCTCTGTCATTTAGTGAAACCTGCTGGATGTAGCCTATGGGTGATAAATCTGATGTCAATTTTTCTTTCCTATCTTGATACTTGAGGTTTAAGTTGGTTTATCTATTATTCGAACTTAGTTCCATTTTATTTAATTCAATTATAATTGAAACCAAAAATTGATATGAAATTAGTTTACATATATTGTCTAGAAACTATGATTGATATAATATTATATTAGTTTGCTTGTTTGATCTGTAATTCAATTAAGTCACAAATAGTTTTGATTCCAGTAATTTGCTTCCTGTGGTATTGAAATGTGACGAACATTTGACATGATTACATATTAATCAACCTTTTTTCCTTATTTTAAAGAGCAGATGGAATGGTGGTTCCATTATGGTTTTGAGTTTCACAAAGCAGTTGTTTTGCCTTCAATAAGACATCTTCAAGTTCAACCACAAATCTTTCCATGGCTGTAGCAGGCAAGCAAAGAGGCACCACAATTCCCTTTTCTCCCTTTTTGTTCTTGAAAGATATAAAAAAGCTTTTCAAACCAGGGATCACTCCAGCCCCTCCTGTTGCAGGTCCTCCATAAATGGGATTTCCCCATCCAAAGTCCACCTCCTCCAACCCAATTTTCGTCAAATCCGACACAACGTACGACCCAACTGCAGTAAAATGGGGTCGTCCTTTGATTATCATAAGATCTGCCACAGACTTCACGTACTCTTCAGTCACCTGTGTCTTAACCTTCTTAATCAATTCTACAGCATAACCTAATGGATTTTGGCAAAGCTTGCCAGCGGTGGTGAGTGCTGCAGGGAAAGCCAGCGCATTACCGTAATACCCTGATGGCAAAGAGTTGAATCCTAAGCGCAAGTTTACGACGCAAAGAAAGCGAACTTCCTTCTTTGGGCTAAATTGAAGGGCTGTGGTACGGAGGCGCCATACGAAGGCTGAGAGGAGCTCAAAGGTGGAGCAATGACGAAGGTGGGTGGGTAAGGTTTTGCGAATGGTGGATATCTCAGATGGGCCAAAGAAGAAGGAGACATGAACCATGTCGTTGAGGGAAATGGTGGTGCCTTTGATGTCACCAACTGGGTTATATTCATGGTGAAAGCAAGTGAACATGGGAGGATCACTTGCGTTTAAGAGAGACCTTTGCCACACTGGAAGTACAGACGGAGTAGGAGCTCCACGAGCCATCTCTGCAATAGCCGTTATGAATTGGACAAAACCAAAGCCATCACTCGTCGTATGATTCAAACGAATAGCAAAAGTAAAACCACCGCACTTGAGTCGTGTCACCTGCATGACCAGTTTAAATAATAAAATCAGATATAATTTTACGTTAATTTAGCCATTTCTAAGGGTTCGATTTTCACTCCACATTTTTATTTGACCATGTACAACCACCATCTATTTAGTTGTCACAAATAAAAATTGATGATAATGAAGAACGATATAATGGTTGAGAACCATCATTAATCTAGGTGTCAATAAAATCCCTGATCTTAATAAATAAATAAAAAAGAAAGAAATTCCATTAGAGGAAGAAGTTATAAAGATTTGTCTATAAAATTCAGAAAAAACTCCCAACTTAACTTATTTTTCTTTATATTGGCCGGAATGGCCGTTTTCTTTCCCTTTTTCCTCTCCATTCCGGCAATGATTCCGGCCGGTATATTGGCCGGAATGGTCCAGAATTAATTTTCTTCTTCTTTATTATGGCAGAGCTAGAGCAAGCAGTGGAGAGAATTGTCCAAAAAGAACGCACATCTCTCTATTTTTTAAAAAAAAAAAAATCTTCACGATCTAGAGAGAAGTTGAACTTTTTGTTCTAAGAAAAATATTTTTGTCTAGAGAGAGGTTAAGGAATAAAGAAAGAGAGGTGAGAAGGAATGGATAGAAAATAATTTCAAACTCGGTCTCTCATCGTTTGGGATACAGACATTTTTTTTCTTTATACAAAAATTTGGAGATACGAGGATCGAACCTCCAATATTGAGAGAATGAGTATATATCAATTAGCGCTGAGTTATGCTCATATAACATGACTCGGTCTTAAAAGGTAATAAACAATTCTAAAATATCATTTTTTATGTACTTTTAATTTTGATTAAATATTTAATTTTATATTAAAAACTACAATACCTATCATATCATAAATAATATATTTAAATAAAAAACTACCGAAAATATTTTTAAACTATTTTATCCTCGGTCAAATTTTAAATTTACAAAATATGTCATCAATAATTATTCATAACTAGTAAATTATAATAATTAATCAATACGTGAAATGTGAAAAGGTGGACTATAAAAGGTTTTGTTATTTCAAATTTTCATGAATTTAATAATTTTCTCCTTTAATTATTTTAATTAATATTAGAATTTGTAACTTTTTCGTCCATCACTATTAAAATGTGTTCTCTTCTACGGTTTCTCCACCAATTGGACTTTATATTTTAAGAACCCCATGAATATAGAACGATGAATAACAAAAGTCACGATTTTGAGGGACAAGTTAAGAATCCCGAAAAAAAGACCTTAAAATGAACCTTAAGACTAACTAAAATGAACCAAAGCTTAAAATAGAAGGATCAAAATAGTATTATATATATATATATATAGACACACATATATACATATATATACATATACATACATACATATATGACTTACCAATCAAACCATTTTTTGCTGTATACTAAAAAAAATTTACGGTGGAAGTATTTTAGCATAGGAATTTTAAATAAATTATTTTTTTTATATCAAAAAAATTGATTAGGATATATTTCAATTACATTTTAATTTAAAGTGATTTAATTTAATTATAGAACATAAGTATTGTTATAATATTTATAAAAGTAATGGACAAATATAATAAAAAAAACTGTTTAAAAAGAATATGTAAAAAAAATTAATTTTCAAACCAGCACTCCTTGTATTAAATGTTGTTTAAAATGTGAGTTTAGGGGAAAAAACATTAATTTCTCTTTGCCATCCCTTTAATTTTTAATTTTGAAGTCTAATTTTAGTTCTACTTAAAAAATATATCTAATTTTAGTTATCTAATAAACATTTTGACCCTTTGAATATTCTAATTACATATTAAATTTACAATATCTTGATAAACTCGATAAATTTTAATTATTTATTTTGAAATTTGACATTACTTAATATTTACGATATATTCAAATCTTTTCATATGACTCCTTTTATTGTTTTAATTGTTGCTTGTAATACTACAATTTTAATAGAAATAGTATATTTTCTTTCAAAAATTGATTATTAGTAGCATTTGAAAATTACTTTTATTTATTTATTTTTATTTTATATATGGACTAAGTAATTTGAGTGCTAACTATTCTAAAATAAATTAATCAACTATATACCTGAATGAGCAATAAAGGACAGTTAAGAATCTCATTAGAGTTTGGTACGTCATAAAGAAGCTCATCCATGCATGGAAATGGGGGATGAAGTGCATCATCGAAGTGTTTTAGAGTTACGTCTGCATCTGCTTCAATGAACAAGATTCCTTCACCAGTACATTCTACAAACAACTTTCTACCAGGCCCTTCTCCCAATCTACCTGCAAAAGGATAGTAAAATACCAATGTCTCTGCAATTGCTTGTTTTAACACCTTTACTGGATCTCTCCCCTCCATGATTGGATTATGCTGATAAAAATGTATTAGTGGAAGCTGAAATCTTAAGCTTTCTTGGTCATCAATATCGGAAAGTTGTTTATATCCATAAGGTGTAGGTTTTGCTGGAACAACTAATTCTGGTTTACATCTTTGTACTTTGAAGACAAGAGTAGAGGTTGAAGATATTGCCATAAGAGGGAAATGAGTATTATTTGTATATATTGATTGTTGGGAGGGAAGAGAGGGTACGAATTGTGAGTTTGGGCAGGAATAGAACGATATTCATAGAAAGACGGAAAAAAATGATTTTCCATAATCACTACAAGAATTTATGATCTTTAGTGACAAACAAAAAACGTCGCTAAAGCCTCAAATGCGTCAGTATTTAGTTTTAGCTAAGCAAATGGTTTCAACGCATCATCTACTTGTCACTATAGGTCTATATATTGTTGTAGATCTACAGTGACAGTAAATAGTTTACCTTACAAAGAAATAACACATAATTTGGAATGAGTAGTTACAAGCTTAATTTTAAAAAAATAAAACAAATTTAGTTGTCCAACCATGTCTAAATTATATTTTAAATACTTTCTAGCTACTTAACTACAAAGGTGACTTATTCCTGGTTAGTTTTGGTGGGATTAACCGCACAAATCACACCACGGAAGACACACAGTGAATGATTATTATTACCCTTCTAAACTTTTAATTATAAATATTAAACTCTCGAACTTTAATGGTATAAATCGGTCCCATCCATTAAATGTTGTTATTATTTTAAATTTTTTTTAGTAGACCTTTAAATTCCATTGATTAACGTTTAATTACATTCTCTCCATTGATTAACCCCTATCAAGAAAACCCCAGTACTGCTCACATAAAAAATCCAAAAGACAGATTTAAGGCATGAAAGCCCTCGCAACTCTTCCCCACAAGATAGGACTTTGCACGAATCTTTTGTTTTCTCAGAGGTCCAACAATGTGGGACAAGAGGAGCTTACAAAATTACTCATATCCTCAATTTCTAGAGCAGAAAAATCGAACAACGAAACGAAACAGTCGAAGCCTCCCAAATTTCCTTTTACATATACTAGTTAGTATCACATGCATTGTTCGTGTTTTTTAATATTTTATTTCCTTTTACTAGTATCACATGCATTGTTCGTGTTTTTTAATATTTTGTTGATACTATGGTTTAAAAATTATTCAATGTAATATATAAAATAATATAAAAATATAATATTATCATTATTATTAAATAATTTAAATAAGATGTTATTGTTTGTTAAAAATGTATTTTTCAATGTAAAGAATTAGAGTACTACGAGTGAAAATTAAAACTAAGAGAAGAAATTTATCAAATTTTAAATAATCAACGTTATCACAAATTTTTAGTTAAAATTAAAAGTAAACAATTAAATTTTATTATGATAATCAAGATGTAATAAATTAAATCAAATTATATAATTAAAAGTTTTAAATAGTCAAACTGTTTATAAGGAAACTAAGGGCAATAGAGAAACTTACAAGTTTCTTTTCTTTAAGCTACTCATTAAGATTGAAAAATAACACTTTTTCTAGCTTTAAAGAATAAATTTACAAAATATAACACATATTAAAAATACTAATAATTAAAAAAAATACAATTTTTACATATTGTCAGTGTCACCATTACTGATAACTAATCAAATTTTAAAGATTAAGCTATTGATTTTTTTTTTAAATGAAATGTATAATTACCGGTATAAGAATAACAGCTTTTTAATTGTTAAAGAAAAATGATATTTGGCTTTAGAAAAACAAAAACAATGCAAAAAATAAAGGGCAAAATTAAAAAAATATAATTAAAATTAACAAGAATATAAAAGAAAAAACAAATAAAATTAATTTAAAATAAGAAATGAGAGAAACTTCTCTCCTATAATCTCTATAGATGTGAGATTCATAAATGTGATTATTGGTTGCTATTATGAGATGAGATCTGAGCTGAGAGGTCATAAAGCTTTCTTGTCTTTGGATGTAGATTTTCTAGCAAGGGGTTAATTAATGGAAGATAAATCCTTTTTTTTTTAGGATTTTTTTTAAATAATTAGAATAGATTTCAATGGAAGTCAACACGTGGAATTACATATAATTTCGAGGGTTTAATTTTGTAATTAAAAATTTCGGGATGAAATTATAACAATTATTATGCTCTAAGGTAATAGGGTATAACTGTCTAAGCGAACATAGCTTGGCAGGAATTGACATATATCTCCAACCTAGAGATTGTGAGTTCGATCTCCCACGTTTACCTGTTCTACCAAAAAAAAGGAAAGAAAAAGGTGACAGATATAACTTGTCCTAAAAGTTTAATATGTAGTACAAAATATGAGTTTTATAATACACAATGTCTTCCCAAAGAGGAAGTTTCAATCAACCGTGCAAAGTTTTTTCTTCTTTTTTTAGTACACAATAAACAGAGATGAAGATTCGAATTCATGATCTTTTGATTAGAGATAAGTATTTGTTTTAACCAGTTGAGTTATGCTTAAATCAAAATTTTTTAAGTTGGAGGGAAAAGTAAATTCAATTCTTCAACATAGTAATAAAAGAAAATGTTACCTTATAAATTTGATCTATAAACTTAAAAAGTCGTGTAATAAATCCTTTAACTTGAAAAATATTTAATAGAAAGTCTCTACATTTTCAGCGTCATATTTGATATGTCTCTAAACTTAAAAAAGAAACTATCTATTAAATCTCTAAAATTTCAATTTTATATTCTAGTAGAAATTTTTAACCGTTTAAAGATAAAATAGGTAAATAAAAAAAAACAAGCAAAAATAGTCATCAAATAATAATGGCATATTCGATTCTTTTGGTTCATCTTTAATTTGCGATTTTACATCCATTAATTGTTCATTTATTGTCATTAATATCGAATTTGTTAATGCTAATATGAACTTATCTCAACGGTTTAGACATGTATATATTTCCTAGATGTTTGAAGTTCAATACCCATCTTCACTTTTTTTGAACAAGTTTTTTCTTGTTTTAATAGTCAGCCATTGATGGAGAGCATGCAATTAAAAGTAATTAATGGAAGATAAATCCTATTGATTCTCTTTTAAGTAATGATTTATATAAAATGGGCCATTTTTTACCATTAGATAAAGTTGGAGTTTAAATTTTGTAGTTAAACGTTCAATACTATAATTGTAACAACTATTAATATTTCAAGGATGGTTTGCCAAAAAATAAATAATAAAGCGAAAACAAGGGAAAATAATTCTTACCCATATTTGAAACGAATATATATGAAATAACGAGAAATTAAATGAGAATGAGTGAAAATCATTCTTACCAATATTGTAACTATTATGTTTTAGAGATGCTTTGAAAAACTATTTTCTCTCTTAAAAAATCATCTCTCTCGAACTTATTCCGTTCAACTAATTAGAGTATATATCTTCAACTAAAAGTCGAAAATTTAAATCTCTACTAAAAAAAATAAAAGGAAAAAACTATTTTTTTTCCGAGAAAAAATATCTAGCACACCCCTCGACAAAACTTGCATGGAAAAACTTCCCTTCTATATCAAATTGTTTGCAAATTACTATTGGGGCAGATTTTTTTTCGAGATTGTAGATGTTTGACACTCACAAATACCTAAAATTTCAAATGCTTGGAATTTTAGATGTCTAACATCTTCATATATTTATTTTGTAGTAAAATTTATAAGAATATCCATGAATATTTGGATAGTTTTTGCATAATTTATTTTTAGAAACGTGTTAAATTTGTACAATGTTTCAAAAATGCCCTTACAAATACTCATATAATTTATACATCCGTTTAATATAATAAACTTATTTTTATTAATTTAATATTTTATTTTTTATAGATATTAATTTAATATAAATTTCATTTTCCATTTCAATATTTTTCCAGAAAGACAATTATATAATTGGTGTTAATTTGGGTGAAATTTATTTATCTTATCATCCCATTACATTTTATCAAGAGGAAAATTATCACGGGTCTATTTTGGTCGGAAAAAAATATTACTTTAACTATATATATTTATGATAATAAATATTATTAATAATATAATTGGTTCAAAATATTAAAATTTTGCTTCAAAGTATCAAAAATGTATGGACATCTTAAAGATATCCAGGCATATTAAAATGTTCGGTATCCTACATTCACGCAAAACAACCAAATGTCCTGCCAGTAAAAAATTTGGATTTCCACACGAAACAAACCGCTGTCGTTGTTTGTTAGCATTGTGGAAAAATTCTTATGTAAAATTCACCACAAATTTTCTCAAGAAAGAGATTGGAAAGTGGGAAGATGTGGACCACTTGAATAATAATTAATGACATGAACAAATAAGAGAAGTTAATGCTCCACAACCAATTTTGAGTTTTCGTTTTCAAAAGATATCAGATTTTAAAAGTTTTATTTCAAATTTACCCGATTTTACTCCTAAATTTATAGTCATATATGTCTTTTTTATTTTAGGTTAAAAATTACAGATTTGGTAATAGATAACATTAGTTTGATTTTACCTTTTTGTAATTGAAAAACTCACTTTTATATATTCTAAACCTAACCAATTGAATTAATTAATATATTTATTTCCTTAATTTTTTGGCAAGTTTTTCGTCCTTCCTGCAAAATCTTTCCATTCTTCCAAAACATATATTTTAGAAAAGCTCCAAAATTAAATCCCATTGCTATCCTTCGTGGTCTTTTCTCCCTCAATGGAACATTTTTCAAAAAATTACATAGGAGTTTATGAGGTAATCTAGTCAATATATTTGGTTTCTTGCTCAAATTTTAAGTTTCATTCTCCTTTTCTCTTAGCGTGCACAGTTTGCTTGCATGCCGCTTTAGGCTTACAACCAGAAATTGTTTTTGGAATTTTGTCAATTCGAAATAATTTTTAAATGTTGGTTTTTATGAAATCTAGACCTCTAAAATGGGTATTTATGTAAAAATCCAAAGAAATTATGAGAAATACATGGAAGTTAAGAAGATGACGTAAATGAAAAGAATTGGACTAAATTGCAACTTTTTTTCATTTTTAAGAAAAAGGACACATCTCTTCTCAAGTCTATATGTTTGGTCAAATCAGGCATGTGCTGCTATTTTAATTATTACAACATGGAAGGAAGATTTAATGGAATAGCCAAGTGGAAATTATATTGTGTTTATAGCGATTAGTTGAAATTAATCTTACTTTTAAAAAGAAGTATTGTTAGTAGGGTTGAAAAAATACTAAAAAACAATTGAAAAAAAAAAAGAGAGATAATGTGTTTAAGCATGATATTAAATATCCATTAACACATCGACATTTCTATTGACGTGTCAATGTATCTATATATAGGTTCGACATCGACAAGAAAGGTAAATCAACATTTTCATTATAGTAGAAAAAAAAATTCACAAAATACGAAAAATATCAATAAAATGACACTAATATATGCCTAATATTAAAATTAATCATTTTTAACTTATTTAGAAATAGAAAAATATTAACTTTTTAATTTAAATATTCTTTTATGTTTTTTTAAATTCTCTAATTTTTAAAGAAATATTCATTAACATCGACATTTTGTCCATATTTCTATGGATATTTTCATAAAATTGAGACTCCGACGTCACTGTTTGAAATGGATAAAAGTGAGATAAAGTGCATGTGGTATAGAAAAACAACCATTAAAAGAAAGTGCCTAAAGGGAGAGCAGAAAATTAGTGGATAAAAAATGTCAATAAAATTTAGCCATTTATGTCTTAACTTTTTTAATTTATTTAAGCGGATTGGTAAATAATAAAATTAGCTGATGATAAATTTACATAGCATAATACTTCATAAATTAATGAAAATTTAGAAGATGAAAAAGGTATTTGAGAGGAGAAGTTTTTAATTCCTCTTTCTAATTTCAAAGAAAATTTGAGCTCATCTTGATGACATTTTTTTCTCCTCTAAACATCGGTCAATTCACTATATCATCTAAATTTATGGTCAACTCGTTTAAACATTGGAAATAGTGAGAGCCTAAATTAAAAAAAAAAAAAAGTAAAAAGATTAAAGATGAAATTGAAACTTTTTTTAACCAAATTTAAAACACTAAAACACATATTTTAGCAAAATGCTATACTAATTTTATTAGCACACAATGCAAATATTAGATTACAACTTAAACTTAAAAAAGAAATCAAAACATCACATATTTGCTCATCTACTACTAAATTTTGATGTTTGTTTTAGTTTCCCACAAGTTTTCCCATTATAAGGTAGATGGAATGAAGGATGGGTTATGGTAATTCGCAACTTCAACTAGTGGTTGTGTAGTGAACAAGGCATCAAGTTCTGCAACAAATCTGTCCATGGCTGGAGCAGGCAAGCAGAAGGGCACCACAGTTCCCTCTTCCCCTTTTCTGTTGTTAAAAGGCACATAAAAGCTTGTTAGACCAGGGACTGTTGCAACCCCTCCCTTTGCAGGCCCTGCATAGATGGCCTTTCCCCATCCCAAGTCCACCTCATCAAACCCGGCTCTCCTCACATCCGACACGGCGTACGACCTCACCGCAGTTATATTAGGTCGTCCTTTGATCACCATGAGATCTGCCACAGACTTGATATACTCCTCTGATACTTCGGCTTTAGCCTTCTTAATCAATTCTACGGCATAACCTAGGGGATTCTGGCTAAGCTTATCTGCGGTGGCGATTGCGGTAGGGAAAACAATTGCATTGCCATAATATCCTGATGGTAAGTTGATGATCTTGGAGCGTAAATTCACGATGCAGAGTAAACGCATTTCGTCATCTGGGTTGGCTTGAAGCGCTATGGTACGGGTACGCCATAGGCATGCGGTGATGAGATCAAAAGTGGAGCAATGGCAAAGGTGGGCAGGTAAGATTTTGCGAAGGGTAGAGATTTCAGTTGGGCCAAAGAAGATAGAGCGATGAGTCATCTCGCTAAGGGGAATAATGGTGTTTTCTGAGTATGGAAGCTGGTCGTATTCACGATGGATGCAAGTGACTCTAGGAGGATCTCGTGCATTTAAAAGGGCTCTTTGCCATACTGGAAAAATAGATGGAGTAGAGGCTCCTTGAGCAATTTCGGCCAAGGCGGTCATGAATGATAGAAAACCAAATGCATCCGTCATTGTATGATTTAGACGAAGAGCAAAGATGAAACTACCGCACTTCAGTCGTGTTACCTACACATCATACGCAATCAAAAGAATCAAATTGATGGTAGTTTCAGGTTAACCTAATACATTTCAAAACGAAGAAGTTATGACAACTCAGTATTTCCAAGCAGGTGTAGAATTAAATTACAATTTAAAAAAATCTCCTCTATAATTTTTGTTAGTAATAACAATGAAAGAAAAGTATAAAATAAATGAATCTAGTATACTTGAATTAACAACAACGGACAATTAACGATCTCATCAGAATTTGGAACATTGTACAGAACATCATCCAAACATGTAAATGGGGGTTGAAGAGCATCACCAAACTCCTGTAAAGTCACGTCTGCATCAGCTTCAATAAATAAGACACCTTCGCCTGTACATTCAACGAACAACTTCCTCCCAGGTCCTTCCCTCAACTTGCCTGCAAAAGGATAGTAAAACACCAACGTCTCGGCAAGTGCCTTCTTTATCACCTTCACTGGGTCTTTCCCCTCCATGTTTGGATTGTGCCGATAAAAGTATATCAATGGAACTTGAAACCTAAAACCTTCTTGGTCATCGACATCAGAAAGTTGCTTAAACTCGTGGGGCGTAGGTTTGGATGGAGCAACCAATTCTGGTTGACATCTTCTTACTTGAAAGACAAAATTATTGATGGATGATATTGCCATTATAAAGAAATGAATTAGTGAAGGATATATCAGAACTGAGGGAGGGATGTTGAGATTTGTAAGTGTGTGTGGGGAGGGAAGGGGGTGGTATTTGTAGAGAAAGATGGGAGAACACTAAAAGTTCAAATTTTCAAACGAGAAGATAATAATACAAATTAAAGCTATCCCTCCTTTTGAATTTGTGGGTTTGGTAACTTGTTTTCAAAATATATATTGAAAGTTTATCTCAAACATATTTTTATGAAAAAAGGTGTTCTAAGTCTATGGCATGTGCACGTGTTCATAATGTTGGGTGTGTTGTCCTAAACTCGTAGTTTGTATTTTGTAAAAATAAATGTCTATTTAATAAAGTTTTATTCAATAAATTTGTTGTTAAATCATAGCTTTGCATTGTCCAAAATCCAATAAACTAAACATCCAAGGTTATTTATGATGTAATCGGGACAGTATATATACTGGGTATATAGTTGATATACGGGATATATATTTGATATACCCCTGATATATTAATGGATAATGTCCCGTGAATAACCCAAAGAGTCTATAGTATATGGATAAGGCTGGGTACCTTATCCTGGCAACACTATGGATACGGCCCGCTCTGTAAAGGTTATAGACGACTCGATCCAGGTCGTTCGTGTGGAGACATGCGAGTGGGGGTATCCTATACAATGAGTTTGTATAAGACCGGACCGCGAAATAGGCAATCTTTAG